TGGAACTTAGTTGCAAGGGTTTCAAGCTTTATTTGGCTAAATGGTTCTAAGAATCTTTAGTTGAAAGAGATTTCAATTGGGACCGGAAGAAATCCAGCATTGCATGTTGTATTCAATTTGAGTAGAAGTGTGTGCTTTAATTTACCATTTAGCTCTGAAAATAAGCAAAAGGAAAGCTCTTAATATAACAGAAATGTGAGAATCTAGAGAGCTTTGTAATTACATTCCAAGTAGCCTAGTACTTTATCTTCCAACTTATTATCTACTTTTAAAGACAAGTCCATAACAATGTAAATAAATAGAGATTTTTTTTTTTTTTGGTTGAAAAAAAATTAAGAAAAAACATTCACTATGCACTGTCTCGTTCCTCTTGTGTTCACCTTCACCTTGAAACATGATTTGATGACCTTGTTCTGTATTGCCTGCGTCTCTGGTTGCAGTGGTAGAGATGATGAATTCATGGCAATTATTTTTAATGTGGAAATTCGTTTCCAAGTGATGGGACTTTAGTCACTCTAGTGTATCAGTCTCTAAGCTGTCTGGGAAGGTGGAGAAGAAATGGAAGGAATCACTAATAAAACAGTGGTGGTGGCGGTGAGGCATAGGAGACACCGATAGTTGGTGGCAACGGGCCATCATACACTGGAGCTGGTGGTGAAGGTGGAGGTGGAGAAGGTCTCATACATGGTGGTGGAGATGGAGGTGGAGAAGGTGAAGCGGGTGGTGGAGAATAAATAGGTGGTGGAGGCGGCGATGGATGAGAATTAGAGGGTGGAGGTGGGGGAGAATGTAGGGGAGGTGGTGGTGAATTGTGAGGAGGAGATGGTGGAGGATCAGAGGGTTGAGGTGGTGGTGGGGAATGTGGTGAAGGAGGTGGTGGGGAGGGAAGGCAAGGCTGTGGGGATGGTGGCGGTGGTGGAGGAGGAGGAGGAGGAGGAGGTGACGGCGATGGAGGTGGTGGTGATGGTGGCGGTGATGGTAATGGAGGTGGTGGTGATCGAGATGGTGGTGGTGGAGGTGGAGGTGGAGGTGGAGGTGGTAATGGTGGGGAGGGAGGAACAGAAGGACGGCATCCAAAAGAACTACAACGAACACCCTTAGACAAGGCCAATTTACAGTGTAACATGGTTCTCTGCTTTGGCCTACGCCGCAAGCAATTCTTGCTGTCATCAAACTTCTCCAATTTCAAACACGTTGGTTGCTCACTAGTGAAGAAGTTGTGCTCAAAGCTGAAGTTCCTCAGGTTCTGAAGCTCACAAACGCTCTCAGGTATGTTCCCTCTTAGCATGTTATGAGCCACATTGAGCGCCTCCAAGCTCACCATTTCACCCACTGCCTCCGGCAACTCGCCAACGATCTGATTATAGCTCACATCAAACAGAGTCACATCCTTCAGCATCCCTATTTCCTTTGGCAAGCACGAGTGGAAGCCGTTGTTTGTGAGCACCACTTCGTTCAAATTCTTGGACATGTTGCCGAGGCTGGCTGGCACACACCCATGGAAGTTGTTGTTTGCAAGAACAATAACTGAGACCGGCGAGTTCCCGAAATTATCCGGCAATTTGAAGGAGAACCTGTTGTGGTTGATGAAGATTGCATCTAGATCTTTATCAAACAGTTCCTTGGGGACCTTACCTTCAAACTCATTGAATCGCAGGTCCAGGAATTTTAGCTTTGGCAGTTGAAGAACAACAAGAGGGAACTTCCCAGCAAAGCGGTTGTTGCTCAGATCAAGCTCAAAAAGCAGCTTCAGTTTGCTGAAACTCTTCGGGACACTGCCGCAAAACCGATTGGAGTTGATGTGGAACAATGCAATATCTGAGAGCAGACCCAGCTCTTCGGGGAGGTACCCTGCAATGCCGCCGTGGTTCAGATCAATGCCGGCCACAGTTTCGACTGACGGGTCGTCTAGGGCTCGGGAGCAGAAGACTCCAGTGTAGCTGCAGATATTGGATCCAACCCAGTTGGATGTTTCGCCCAGAGGGTCTGAGAGCATGGCTTGTTTCCATGCCTGGAGGGCAACGTAGGCACTCCTGAGTCTTGGGTTGTGAAAAACAAGGGAGGATGGGACTGCCACAAGCTCCCCTCTTGACCCATCTTGGTCAGTGTAGAACAAGAGCTGCCTCTGATTAATATGAGAAAGTTTTAACTCTCTCAGGCCTGCATTAGGGTTTTGGGCAGTGGAGCCAAGGCAAAGGATCAGTATCAAGAAAGTAGAGGGTAGAAAAATGTGTTGAATTTCTCTCTTCATCACATACAAGAGATCACATCTATGGGGTTTCAATTTCTTGGTTTTGGTTTGCTCAGCATTTTAAGAGAGAAAAAGAGAGGCTTTTGGGGATGGGAAAATGATCAAAATCCACAGTTAAAGCTCAGAGCCACTGAGTTTTTGTAAAACCTTTTTTGTGTATAACAATTTTGTTCACTGTGCAAGACAAGTATGTCAGAGGAGTGACAGGTAGGGACGTTGAGATTTTGCTGGAACCGATGAATGCATGATTCTTATTACATCTGTATAAAATGGAACCAGTCAAAGGGAAAAACGGTTATTTCTGGGACGGTTCCCGATTTTAACTCTCATCTTGGACTTGATCAAGTTTTTCACACCAATTTAGGGGCCTGAGGTGTTAGTTGCAGATATAAGAGAATTTTAAGAGGGATGGTAAAAGACCCCTTAGTGAGACATAATTAAGAATTTGACTACGCGTTTTAGACCTACATATGGCTGATAATCGTCCACACGCACGTAATCAACTGAGTTAAAGTTAGTGTTAGTTGCAGATATACGAGAATTTTAGTAAAAAACCCCTTAGTGAGACATAATTAAGAATTTGACTACATGTATTAGACCTACATACGGCTGATAATCGTCCACACGCACGTAATTAATTGAGTTAAAGTTAGTGTTAGTTGCAGATATAAGAGAATTTTAAGAGGGATAGTAAAAGACCCCTTAGTGAGACATAATTAAGAATTTGACTACGCGTATTAGACCTACATATGGCTGATAATCGTCTACACGCACGTAATCAACTGAGTTAAAGTTAGTGTTAGTTGCAGATATAAGAGAATTTTAAGAGTGATAGTAAAAGACCCCTTAGTGAGACATAATTAAGAATTTGAGTACACGTATTAGACCTACATACGGCTGATAATCGTTCGCACGCAAGTAATTAACTGAGTTAAAGTTAGTGTTAGTTGCAGATATAAGAGAATTTTAAGAGGGATAGTAAAAGACCCTTAGTGGGACATAATTAAGAATTTGACTACGCGTATTAGACCTACATATGATTGATAATCGTCCACAAGTACGTAATCAACTGAGTTAAAGTTAGTTATCCATACTCGCAAAAGTTATTTACATTAACACCCTATGAGGTTTCTTATGTTTGTACAAAACACCCCTTCATGTTTCAAAAATTACACAAACACCCCTAAGGTTTCAGTGTGTTTTCATAAAACCTCTTTTCGTTGATTTGTACAAAAATTGATGATTTCATTGAAAAATAACTTTTGCAAATGACAAAATTAACCTTAATGAAGAATATGCAATCTAATCTCAAAGGCCTACTTCGTCATTTGGATAATTTTTTGTATAAGATGAAAAATGAATGAAAATGAGTATTGTGAAAACAATTTAAAACCTTAGGTGGTATTCGTGTAATTTCCAAAACCTCAAGGAGTTTTGTGAAAAAGCTAAAAACCATAGAAGGTGTTAGTGTAAATAACTCTACTCGCAAACAATTTTTTTAGTGTAACTATCATTTCCTTACGTTTTCTTTTCCAACTTCAATTTTCACATATCTTGAATTGAATTGGATTGAAACATATCTTTAACTGTAACCTATCACAAAGTTACAATCCTGATATCTTGGACTCCAGAGGTCCAAGAGATTTGTAGTCACTCACCGTTGGATGTAAATTCAACGGCTCACTCACTCTTGCACTCATTTTAAGACATTTTTTTGAATCATTGAATTAATATTCAACGGTGGGTGACCACAATCTCTTGAACTCATGTGGTTCAAGAGATCAGGACTGCACAAAGTTAACAGGACTTGTTTTTCATTTTGAATTTAGTTATATTGAAAACTTAGAAGAATATTGGGTTTCCAATTGAGTTACAAATCATACTACCGGGATCGTTTCATATTATAATATAGACACAATACCATGACAAACCCATGAAATACACCTCTTCTTGAATTCAAATCTTATCGTTAAAAATAAAAAATAAAATAAAATTATATTAGGTCATGTAATCGTACATTTGATTTCACAACGATGAGCTAGACGGAACACAAAGTATATAATTGAACTTCGTCAAACTGATTCACGTTTGGATCCAGTCGAGCAAATCAAGGTCA